TATTTATTTCTTAGAGAATCCTTTTTTTTTTTTTAAATTTGCAGAGTGTACCAATTGAAATTCTGGTGAACTGGTCGATTCACCAAAATTTCAGTCGGTACACCGGATTTTGATCGAAATGATCAAATCTTGACTGAAACAAAAATTACTATTATATCATTTCGGTCAACTGTAAAAATCGGTACGTACCGGTCGTACCGACCAGTACGGTACGGTTTTTACTTCTTTGCTTTGCACTAGCAAGATCAACCACTAAACCATCCTTTGGAAAGCAACAAAACAATAGTTTTTGTATAGGGATTTCTTGAGCAATCGCAATACAAAAAAGGACTGTTTTATTTTGATAACAAGGGTTCAAAAAGATTCCTTAAAGAATAAGAGATAACTCCATATTTATAAGGCAAAATGTTTGTTGGAACAGACACTTTTTTTCAAGATGTCTGTTGGGAATAGACATTTCTTTTCAATTTTTTTTTTCCGTTGGAAATTCTTCCAAAAGTCATTTAGTTTAATTTGAATTCCAACTAATATGTTTCCTTGCCTTCCAAAGTTATCCACTCTCTTCAGAAACTTATCAGAATTCTATCTCTTATTTCTGATGTAAATGGTTCGAACCATAAAAATATGGTTTGAATCAAAATCGTAACTTTCCGGATTCTTGTTTTACGTAAATGATTTGAATCATAATTATATGATTCGAACCAAAGTTACATTTTCTCAAATGCATTCTGTACAATTGCTTTAAACCAACTTTTTGTGATTCGAACCCAAATCCTAGAAATATTTTGAAAATTCTTCAACATTCCCCCACCATTTTCAAAATAGATCAACCCACCAATTGTTTTGGAAATTTGATGCATACATGAAGGTATCTTACAGTTTGAACCTTTCACTCAGTGAACATGCGTTGGCAAATTAGTCAGAATTGCATGCTAGACTAATGCTTTGAACCAACGATTCTAAGTGACTAATTGGGCACATGCCACACACAAGACTTCAAGCTTTCCAAAGAAAAAATTCAACATCCACCAACACAAAAACTGGCCATGTGTCCTATATCCTTTTTCATGAATGCTATTAGAGTCAAGTCCCCAACTCCTAAAAGTGGCACCACTTCCACTCATGTAGGCAGATCCCATTAAAAGTGCCACCGCATTAAGCACTTTAACAAAAATCTATTATAGGACCTATTAAGAGTAAAACTCATCCTCCTTTTTGTTTCATGTGGTTATCAAGTACTCTTCCACTTGGGATGGTATTATTGATAAATTGAGTACTTGCAGTCACATTCATATGATGTGCTTTACTCATTAAACTTAAGACTTGAAGTTTTTATCAAGCGTTAGGTCAAGGTTCCATTATGTGTGACTTTTGTCAATATGGACTTAAGACCCATCCTTCTCCTTGTCTTGTAAATTTTCCTTTGATAATCCTTTTAATCAAGGGTTCATGAAGTTAATTCACACAAGACCTTGCAAAGATTATGGTGATCACCTCATTTAAGAATTAATTATTTTCATGTCTACATTTTATGACAACAAGTCTACTGTCATACAAACTTCTTTGTAAGCACTTGATGATATCCTATTATTTTTAGTCATCATACACATTCATATAAGAATGTCTTAGAATAATCTGAACTCTTGAAAAGTGTAGACATCTCCAAGAACAAGTGCTATCACTTTTAAACAATGCCATCACTTTTAAACAGTGCCATATAACTTTGTAATATCATGAACAAGTGGAATTCTTGCTTCCTCCACTTCCAATTACATTTTATTTGCTTTTCATGTGTCAAGGACTTTTAGTCCTTATTCCTCACTTTTGGGATTGTTTCCACTATTTTAAATGACATCAATATTTCTTATGAGAGACATATCAAGACAAATTTTGATTTATCAAAAATGGTTCAATTCATATAAATACGATTCGAACCAAGTTCCTGATACTTTCTAAGTTTCCTGTGTAATTGGTTCGAATTAGCTTTAAGTAATTTGATCCAAAATTCTAGAACAACTCAAATCATTAGATTTATTTTCCATGACCAAGAGGTATTCACTCTTGCTATTTATAGGATTCTTTAAATCCATATTTCTTTATCTTTTGGATAATTTTTCAGGCTTCCAAAAATCAATCAAGTGCACAAGGTTGCACTAGTTTCTACAAATTATCTCATTAAGAGATAACATCTAAATAAGGATTCAAAATCCTTCATGCCTTATCAAAACTTAGAGCCTTTTTACTTGGCCTCTCTTCTCTTAGTTCATACTAAGACCATCAATTGGATCTCCAAATGGGTTTGCCAAATCTCATTTCAGTATTTTTTTTCTTTAACATGGCAAAGTAGCCATAATGAGACTTGATCCTCACTTGTTTCAAATTTACAAATACTGATATATAACCTTACAAGCATAAATAAAAGGCATCAAAAGTAAAAAGTAGACATATGCTTTAAGCGACCTTTCATTAATTAAACATGATCAGATTTAGCCTCTTATATTTCCACAAGCCTCAATGATTTTAACTAAAACTGTCATATACATAAACATGCTTATAACATAATCCAAGTAAAGGAAATCTCATTGACTTTAATAAGCCTTAAGCAAACCTTAATAAGATCATGTCCAAAAGTAAGATATACTACTTAAACTCCATAAAGCTTCATAAGTATTCACCAAAGAATAGTAAATAATCATTACTAAATGAAAAGAAAAACAGAACTTCATTTGTATCACATTAGTAATCTCAAAATCAAGGCACAACCATATCTCAAAACATGATCATATTCAAATCCATAAATATCTTCCTTCTCACAGCCAAGAACCATGCTATCAAGTCTAAGATTTATTTAATCTCCAAATGGGATTGAAAGACCCATTTTATTGATGTTGCCCTGTTGTGCCAAATGACTTTTAATTTTGAATCTTTACATTGTCATTTGCATCTTTGATAACTTCTTTGAAGCCATTCTCCATGAGATGTTTTTTCCTCGTATATAATTAATTAAACATCAATAAGAGAACTATCACCATGCATGAACAACCCATGATATAAATGGTGCGTGTGGCAAAACTCTGAAAAATTCATGATTTAAGAAACTGTAATTTGAATTTCTTACTAATTTCAGAATGTATTATTTTATTCCATCATTTTATTGGTTTTCGTACCTGTTTCGATATTGCAATGAATCTTGATTCATCTATGTTTCATATCCTCTCTAGACTTAGAAATTTCAATTGCTTCCTTCATGAACAAAATCATGTCTCCATTGTTTCATCTTTCATGAAAATAAATTTCCTTTGCTTTATTGTGAAACATCCAACAACCATTGCCTCATCTATGATTGATCATCATTTTGATGGTTGATGAATCACCATTTTTGCACACGATTTAAAGTGCCAGAAATCCATTTTGTTTTGTCATTGTTGCACGCCATATCTCCTTGGCTTGACATGCGTTTTAACGCAAGTTTCTTCTTAATTATCCAGTAAGCCATAATCTCAAAAAACTCAGAAATTAGCCTAAAGATTGTTGGAGAAATAAGGGGTTAGAAAATAAATCATTAGATCATTGGCTTCAAGGCGTGTTACAAATGTCACTTTTCTTTAGGCTAATTTCGCCTCCCCACTAGATCTGGTATGCAAAAGCGGTAACCTGAATGCCCATAGGATATGGTGAAGTGCCTTTGCACTAGCAATACATGGTTACGAAGTGCCTTGTTGATCTAGCCTTTGCACTAGCAAGATTAATCACTGAACCATCCTTGGGAAAGTGACAAAATAATAGTTTTTGTATAGAGATTTCTTAAGCAATCGTAATACAAAAAGGGGTTGTTTTATTTTGATAACAAGGGTTCAAAAAGACTCCTTACAGAAGAAGAGACAACTCCATATTTATAGGGCAAGTTATCTGTTGGAACAAACACTTCTTTTCAAAATGTTTGTTGGGAACAGACATTTCTTTTCAATTTTTTATCCGTTGGAAACTCTTCCAAAAGCCATTTGGTTTGATTTGAATTCCAACTAATGTGTTTCCTTGCCTTCCAAAGTTATCCACTCTCTTCAAAAACTTATCAGAATTATATCTCTTATTTTTGATGTAAATGGTTCAAACCATAAAAATATGGTTCGAACCAAAATTGTAACTTTTCAAATTCTGGTTTCACGTAAATGGTTTGAACCATAATTATATGATTCAAAACAAAGTTACACTTTCTCAAATGCATTCTGTGCAATTGCTTCGAACCAACTTTTTGTGATTCGAACCCAAATCTTGGAAATATTTTGAAAATTCTTCAACAATTTCTTATGTTGAACTTTACCTATAACATTAGACTCTCCCAAGTATGTTACTAGAATCCTTAGGCAATGAGTGACCACATAAGAGAGGGTGACCCTTCAAAAAGTCTAGGACCAGCCCTTCAATAACACATATAGGGACACCTCAAAAGACCAACTTACCTTCAGTTTCGTTAAACTAACCTAACCCTTCAAACACAAGTGGAGCCAAT